CGCCTGCTGAACCTTTCAAATAGTTCTACCTTTGGTCCTTAAATAAACCACAAGAGTCTTTTTTCTATAAGAGTGCTATACTAAAATAGTGATAGCCAACAAGTACCTGAATGAAGGAAGCAAGACAATTTTCAGAGTGACTGACAGACTAATTTCAAGTTAACATTCAGATTCCACCCAACTGAAAGTCACTTTTAAGAGAATATTTGAAACAATTTGTAAAGTTTTTATAGTCAAACTTACTTTTCATCCTTTTCTACGTCATGACACACATCCACAATCTGAAGAATGTTGTGATTTGCACTCAGTTCTAGTGCACCAATGTTTATATGAATATAGTCTTTCAAGAAATCTTCAGCAAGCTGTCTTACTTCTTTTGGCCAAGTAGCACTCCACATTAGGGTTTGCCTATCAGGCTAAAGATTTTTGGATTTTAAAAAAGCATTGTATTCTAAGAATGGATTTAGAGCTAAATTTGAAGAGAACACATTTGAAGGGCACTTACTCTTATTTGATCCACAATCTTCCTTATTTGGGGTTCGAATCCCATATCAAGCATTCTATCTGCTTCATCAAGGACAAGGTAAGTGGTTCTTCTTAGATTGGTTTTCCCACATTCTAAAAAGTCAATCAGTCTTCCAGGTGTTGCAATACAGATTTCCACACCTTCAATTAAACACACAAATGCAACCATGACATCTAAAACTTTCAGCACCACCAGTAACAAATAAAAACCTTGTTAAATACCTCTCTCCAAGTCACGTATCTGTGGTCCCTTGGGAGCACCACCATAAATACAAGTGGACTTCAAGCGACATGCTCTACAGTATTCAGCAGCTACTTGCTGTACCTGTTGGGCCAGTTCCCGAGTTGGTGCCAGCACCAAGCACTATGGAAAGAAAAAGTGGAGCACCTTTAGCAGAGTCCTGGATTCTAGTTTTAGAGTGACAATTTACTACTGTTACACACTGGCAGATGACTTATTCTGTCAATACCCAAAGCAACTTTGTCTCTAGGTAAATTGGGTAAGATCACTAATATCTCTAAATAAAACCAGCACAAACTGACTTTTGCTATACATTCTACAAATTTCTACACTTCTAACCAAAAACTGATAGAATATATATGTAAACTTACAATAGGCCCATCACCTCTCTCTAGAAATGGCTGATGATTGATATGGACAATGGCAGGCAGCAAATACTGTTCAGGGAGAGAGCAAACAACAGAAGTTACATTCAAATACTTCTAGTTTCTTTTAATTCCCAACCAATTTTCTCTAGCACGTGTCACATAACTCGAAAGTTCTCCCAAACTTACAGACAACGTCTTCCCAGATCCAGTTTGTGCTACCCCAACCATATCCAATCCACTTAGAGCAACTGGCCATCCCTGAGCTTGAATAGCTGTGGGTTCAGTAAAGTTCTGCCTTGCAATCACATCCATGACGTTTGCTGCAATTATTAACAGCAATTAAAAATCAGTAATGCCAAGAAAAAAAAATTAAAAAGAAAAACAAAGTCGGGAAAACTAGCACTTACCAGGGAAGTTTGCTTCATAAAAATTCAGGACTGGCTTTGGACAGTTGTGACCTCTGACTGTAATTTCCTTGCTTCTTCTGTACGTCTCTACCTCTTGCTACAAAACAAGTCATAATAATCCAATGAAGTCTCATAACTCCCGCTAACTAAAAACAAGGCCCTGAGTTTATAATTATCTACTTTAAGATGACCTTCAAAAATTTGGATCCATACAGAAAACTGCATGTAATACAAGAACCACCTATTATGTTACACTCAACTTTTCCACGTAAAAGTAAGTCAACATCCCATGTCTCCAAAAGTGAGTTAACACCTCTTCCCCAACTACTTACTTGGAAAACATGAGATTCCCAAAATTTGCAAGAAATTTCTAGTCAGATTTTGATTCACTAAAAAGTTAATGAGCTATGGCCTGAAAAAGCCACATGAAATTACTCACTGCTGTACGCCTAGCCAAATCAGGGTGTTCCTGATAAAAATTCTTCTCAAATTTGGGCAGCTCATCAAGATTCCACTTCTTTTTAACCAGTTTCTCCCCAGGGTTTCCAAACTTCTTTCCAGATAAGGGCCCTGCCCTACTTCCTCCAAATCGAGGGGCACCAAACCTAAAATTAAAAAAAAAAAGTTACAGTTTCAAACATGTACAGACTTACTTACCATCCCTAAGCATATGCTAAAGATCTACGAAAGACTGGAGATGGAAGACCCAACTGTCCTTAGCGATAATCATTCTTTCAAAAGCCACAATAAGCACCGCATCTCCCTCATTTCGCGTTGTGCGAAGTCCACACCACTGAAGCCAAATCAACAGGCCGGGATTTACCAGGTCGGAAACTGGCTGCCCGAACACTAGTTCCGATTACAAGGATAGACAACAGCTGGTGGCTACTAATCTTTTCCACAAGACTAAAAATTAAATGTCTAAGAACGACAATAAAGAAATAAGAAAGCAGCTTAATAGTGACGCTATTTACCAGTCGTCCTCAAGCAAGAGCTTTGGTTTTAATGGATAACGGAACAACACAGGCAGTGAAAGCAGAACAAGGAAGGTGGTCTCGGAGACAGTCATGCAAGCCAATCGAGTTGGGGGGATCCCGCAGTAGGACTCCCGACCGAGAAAGCGAAATTATATAACGCAAAGAAAAAGAGGAGGAGGAGCTGGAGACTACCGGGGGAGGAGTCCCGACCCGGGCGGAGTCGGCCGGGCGGCGTTCCCGCTGGGGCGGCGCTTCCCCCTTTGTCTCGCATTTCTCTCTGCGCCACATTTTCTCGATGCTGCCATTTTGAGCTCCTCCGCCGGGCGGGGTAACAAAGGCGCCGCCGCCATGTCCGCCGCCGGCATTTTCTACCCACGGCTCAGCCACATGGCCGACTCCCGAGATACCTCCTGCTCTCGCCGCATTAACGGCTTCGGAAGCGGCCCCCTCGGCACCCACAGAATCCCTAAGGCCCCTAAAACTCCTCCCGAAAGGTTGCACCTAAGAGCGGCGACTTTGCCTCGAAGTACTGCGCTTTCCTTCCCTAAAAATACGCTCCTTGAAATTCTCCCAACAGCTGCTAAATCATCGAGGCCGCGATGCCCCCCTCCCACACAAAAGGCGTTCTTGAGAGTCGTTAACAGGAAACTCCCAGTTTTGGACAAATATCAAAATGGCGCAAACCTTCAATGGAGGAGGCCCAAGGATAGGCTGAAGAAGGCGAGTTTCCACCGCCCCCCCGCTCCCCGCAACCCTCATCGGCCTCCCATCCCCCACCCGCCGGGCCTGACAGGTCGGTTCCCACACTCACCCTCGATCCCGGCCGCGGTCTCGGTCACTCGAATAACCCGACATGGCGTCAATGGTTGCGGTTGGCGGGAAGCGAAGCGGAGAGAATCGAGCGCGGCGAGTCGCTGGAGGTGGCGACAGCGAAGCCTTGCGGGGGCGGCAGAGGCGGACGGACGGCGATGACAAGAACCTAGGCTACCGACCAAAGACCGGTGGAAATGAATGAGGTGCCGGCGGTGTCCCGGCAGCCGGTTTTATAGCCTGGACCGCCTCCTCCGCCGCAGAGTATGCTGGGAGCCGCTCTATGACCTAATCACTCCGCCCCTGCGCAGAGGCCGCAACGCCAGCCGGCGTTCCGGAATCCGCCATGTTATCGCCCCTCTCCCCGCGGCCCCTCCCTCAGCGTCGCCCGTTTTTCGCCTCTTACAAGGGTGGGCCCACCCGGCCACCCGGCTACCCACCACTGGGATCCCTCAGCTTGCACTCTTTTGACTTCACTTTTTTCTCGTCTTTCACACTTCAAGGAAGCCACCGCGCCCTTTTCCAGGTACAGCCCAGACAATAAAATGGCCAGGCCAGGCTAACCCACTCTATCCACTTGGAGATGTTTACGTCTCCAGAGAGCCTTCACGCCCATAACCAACCAAGGCGGGAAGGCGGAGCCTGGCACTGTCACGTGGCTGCCCCCTCCCACCGGGTGAGCGGGCCGCACTACTTCCCCAGTTGGCTTTGGCGGAGGAGTACAAGACGGAATAGCTCACCGGAAGTGCTGTGCTAATGGCCCCGGGAGGTCGGCCTGGGCTGCTGGGTGACTTGGGCTGTCAAACCCACCCACCCGAGAACCTCTTAGCGGGAACTGGCCGGTGGAGAATAGTTTCTAAAGCCCGCAAACCGCCGCCGCGGCACGTGCTGCGAAAGGAAGTGCTCCCTTGGTGACCAATCAGCAGCGAGAAGCCGTTTTAACGTCCCTCCCTCTTCCACCCCTCCTTCGCGGCACTTTCGTTAGGTTCTCCTTTCTGTCACCGCTGGGTGGGCGCCGTGAGGCCCTCCCAGGACACCGTCCCGCGCGCGCCCGGCTGGGAGTCCGGCCGGCGTCCTGCCTCCGCGACATGGCCGGCTCAGAGGCTGGTGAGTCTCGGCCTTGAGCCTCGGTTGTGTGTGGACTGAAGCCGTACAGTCCAAGTCCCCGAACGCCCCTGCCCAGCTTATCTTGAGGCCTCGGGCAGGTCTGGGCTGCCGGTGGGGCTCGTGACAGACACCCCGTCGTAGTCGGCGGGTTTTCGGGATAGGGTCTGTCAGTCCCGCTCCCTGGCTCCTTCGAAGCGGTCGAGCCTGATTCAGGGGCGGGGTGAGAGAAGGGCCCTGCGGCGAGGTCCGCAGTACGCCCGTATCCTGGCTGCAAAACGGGCGGTCAGAAAGTGTCCTTACCCGGACAGCTATTTCTCTAGGGAATGTGCCCTCTGCTCTTGCACTGTGGGGACTGAGGCTGTACCTGCATCTGTTTTGAATTTTTGAGGACTGGCACTGTAAATATCTGTTGATGCTACTCCCAAAGTAGAATAGTGGTGGACTTTTCAGTGCTTTCTAGAGTTAACCGGCTTTATCCAGCGCCGCTTTTGAAAAGCTAATTGATTTGGTTGTCTAGGACGCTTTCAATCTTTTCTCCAAGACAGCGTTCAAACCAGTTGTCATTCTTTGGTCAGCTGTGAGTAATGGGCATGGGGAGAGGGAGATAATGTACCTTGAAGTCACTCTTACACATACACACATTTATTTGTAGACATACTGAAGATGACGCATACAGAATAAAAGAATTTCCCCTTACTCGCCAGTTATTTGAGGGAATAAGTGTTTTAAGCTTGCTAAATTACCTTTGGTCGAGAAACCCTTGAAATAATTTTGCTAATCACAACAATAAAGGGGTGATACACAGGAAACTTCGACAGTATTGGTAATGTGCTAGCTTTGAATTTAGAGACGTTTTTATGTATTTCTCAAATTTTCTTTCATATACATCAAATATAATTAAAAATAGAACAGATGCAGTAATGTTGGTGTCATTACTCCAATTCTTAACAGCCTAAGTTAATCCCCACCTATTTGGGCATCTTGAACAAGATAATTGGGTAGAAACATGACTAATGCTATGGGGAAATTGAAGCAACATCCATTAATTGGTTTCCAGTAACCTCAAGTTATTCTTCACAATCTGTCTTACATAAAACATAATATTCCTGTTTATTTGTAAATGTGTTTTAAATAAAAAGACCTACGTATGGCTTGTAAAATGGGGACTATGGTAAGTAACTTAAGATTTAGGTTGCAGCAGTGAAAATTGGATTTGCATCATAGTTTTGACTACATTGAAATTAATGGAAGTCATCTCAAGAAATTCAATACATCTTTTCAAAAATCATGACTAGGAGGGTCTTTGAAGTTCTCTAACAATCAAATTCCTTATTTTCTATAGAATTCAGTGTCTGTTTCTGTTGGGGGGGGGTTTAAATGAACGTATATGATTTTTTCTAGTACTAGTTAAGGCTGATCTTTTCCCTTCCTTTCCCAACAGAGTGGGTAACCATTGCCAATAATTTGCTTTTGCAATGTCATATACACCTGAGGATTCGAGAACTAGAAGACTGTGATGCTAATGTTTTTATTGCTCTTTATCAGTCTATTTTGGGAGAAAAGGTACCAGGTAAGGGTACTTAAAAGTGGGAGTAATAGTGTCTGTATCTTAGGCCATAAGTTTCTAGGGTTTTCTAGTTAGATCCTATAGTATATATAAAATCTTGAGTTTTCTCTTTGCGTACATCTTATTTCTATCTAAATAATAGCATTCATTGCCTTAATGAATACCTTAGGAGACCCACCTGTAATAACTGCCTTGGTCATCAACTGTTTAATCATTCATAATGCCCTGTGAAAGTCACACCTTTTCTGTAAATGTACCTTCATAGTTCTAAAATCGAGTGGAATTTGGAAGCTTGTTGAATCCTGGTATTTAACCAATGTTACGGATAAGAATTGTTTGCACTTTGTTCCTGGTTAAATATCTCAGAGTTCTTATCCATAGATTGCTCTGCTGCCTCTGTATCTTTATATAGTTTATAACCATTAAGCACTAAAGTTCTGTGTAGTCTCTCTTCCCTCCATTACCATGAGTCAGTGCCCTCATCGCTTTCTGGAATAATGGGATGGCCTCCAGCTGGTATCTGTGATACTAATCTCAACTCTCTTTAGGGTTCAGAGGCAGGTAGTTATTAGACCAGTCTTTTAGAATACTTTTTTCATCCTTCCACAAGACATTCATCTTCCTCAGTACCAGAGGAGAAACTCCAAATTTGTTGTTAAAATCTTTCTGCATTATGCTGATCTTATAAACCTTTATACCAGTAATTCCCAATAGGCTGCTTTAACAGGACACACATAAACCCCTCCTTGCACACCTGCCTATGGCTATAGGTTAAAGTCTCCCTTGTATTTTCTCCCTTATTAGAGTATTAGCATCTCCTTGAATTCAGGGACCTTTTTAGCTTTCTTTAACACGGTGCTTATTATAGAGTATGTTTATATATAGGTTGATTGAATAAATATTCAGCCATATTCAATCAATAAATATTCAGCCACTAAAGATTCTACTTTGTGGAATTCAGGCTCTGTTTATCTGTATGTTATAGCTTGCTCTGTTTGGGCAGAGCTCAGAGGCCTGGTCAGAGACAGGTAGATGAAAACTTGGACTCACATAGATGCAAAATTGTGTAGTTTTTTTTCCACAGACCTCATAGCTATTCCCAGGAGTCAAGAGGATGAGGCTCACAATGTACAAGCAGTAATTGATTCACTGGCTTTGGATTATCTGCAGGTCAGCTTGTCTCACATAACAGGTTGGTATATACTTAACCATCAGATAATTTTGCATTTTACTAAAATAATTTGTTTTGTAGCATTCTAGATATTGTTTAACCAAATGAGTAAGCTTGTGAAATAGACCAAACAGCAAGACTGAGCCAAGACAATTCACTGGTATAGTTAAGACAGCCATCCTTACGAGCTTTTCCAGGAGTCATACACTGAGTTTGGGATAGGTCTAAGATACAAGAATCGTAGCTGGTAGTTTGAGGTGTGTTTTGTTGTTGTTACTTTAAAGCTATCAGTCTGCTTGTTTGTAGTTGCTAAGAATTAGAAACACCTAAATGTCCATTAATAGGGACAGGTTAAATAAATTATTGTAGCTCCATATAGGGAACTACTCTGCAGCTGTGAAAGATAATGGATGATGCTCTGTATACAACGTTCCATGTTAGTGGAATGATCTCTCATATATACTGTATGAGGAAAACGTGGTGCGGTTATAATGCTAATGTGCAGAGTATGCTACTATTTGTAAAAGCAAAGGTGGGGAGAAAATATATGCAGTTGATTGAATGCCAAAGGACTCTCTAGAAGCATATGCAAAAAACTTGTAATACTGATTACCTCCAATGACAGGAACTACAGGGCTGCAGGACAAGGGTGGGATGAGACTTTTCATTTTATACCTTTTGCACTTTTTGAATTTTGAACCATGTGAATGTATTACCTGTTCAAAATAAATAAAACCGTAAATTGTTTTTCAGCCTTTTTCCAAAAACGTGTGCATGCTTGTATTCAAAAGCCAGACATACCAAATACATTTGTAAATCCTTATTTTTGGTAAATAGAAAATGAGGATTAGTTCAGTAAATTACTACAAGCTAACGAACAGAGGGAATCTTGGGGACTTGAAACTATACTTAAGTCACTAAGCAAAGATTTATACTGTTTTATTCTTTGACAGTCGTTAAAAGAGGTATATGTTAATAAGGATAGGTCATTTACATCTCTTATTTTGATACATCAATAAGAACAGAGTTTTACAAAAATACTCCGTCTTAAGTTTTTTAGTGCAGTTCTAGGTGAATGAATGTGGTAAACTAGTTTGGAGAAAATTCATTTTGAGGGATAACCCTGGGATTTCCCTGTTCTTTTGAAATTTGGAATGGCTTTATCACCTGAGTAGAGTAATTTCTGGTATTTGTATTTACTAAATAAACATACTGTACACCAAGGTTGTGTCTGCTTATAGAACTTTTTGATGCAGAGCTGCCCCTGACAACTCATACCCACCCCATCCCCATGGAAAGTTGCAAAACTGCTTACCTCCTCCAATAGACTGCAAGGCAGCTTTTTACTCCTTGTGTGCTGTTTAAAGCAGTTTCTCCGGGACTTCCCTGGTGGTGCAGTGGTTAAGAATCCACCTGCCGATGCAGGGGACACAGGTTCAGGCCCTGGTCCGGGAGGATCCCACATGCCACAGAGCAACTAAGCCCGTGTGCCACAACTACTGAGCCTGCGCTGTAGATCCTGCAAGCCACAACTACTGACTACTGAAGCCTGCGCACCACAACTACTGAAGCCCACCCGCCTAGAGCCTGGGCTCTGCAACAAGAGAAGCCACCGCAATAAGAAGCCCGTGCCCCACAACGAAGAGTAGCCCCTGCTCGCTGCAACTAGAGAAAGCCTGCATGCAGCAATGAAGACCCAACACAGCCAAAAATAAGTAAATTTATTAAAAAAAAGAAAAAGAAAGCAGTTTCTCCTACATCATGAAGCACTGCATTCTGGCTGGCAGTCTTAGTTGCTGGGTTGGCAGAGTATGCTCCCCATCCTGGAAACCAGAAGTCTTGGGTATGTCCTTGGGGTATGCTTGTATATCTTGTTAAGCCAGAAAACATAGGGCTTAAAAACAAGATTTCTGTTCAGCTGTTTTAAACAAAAAAACTCTCAAACATTGATTATCTTTACTAGAGTGTTGTAAACCATCAAATTTCTGGTTTAGGTTTGTTTTGCATCATGACTGAAGTTATGAATGGCTAGATTATCTCAAATATCAAATTTCCACTCTGCCTCTCCCATACTTGTTTGAATTCATGCCAGCTCTGATCTCCCAAAGGACAACACAGGTGTCTCAGCAGTTAAGTTCCATCCATACCTGATGTTGATTGGAGTCCATTTTAGGTGACATTAAACATGTCAAGTTTCCATGCTTTTGCCAGCCCGTATTTTGTCAACATTTCAATTTAAAATTTATTAAAAATCTATTATAGGCCAGGTACTGTGCTAGGGACTGTTTAAAGATTAGTTTTAGGTATAAAGCGGGTATAGTGGGAGGTAAGGCTGGAGAGGTTGGGGGTGAGGTGAGATTAAAAGTGGTTTTATATGCAGGGACCCATGGTCAGTTTTATTTATTTATTTTTTATTTTTTATTTTTTGCGGTACGCGGGCCTCTCACTGCTGCGGCCTCTCCCATTGTGGAGCACAGGCTCCGGACGTGCAGGCCCAGCGGCCATGGCTCACGGGCCCAGCCGCTCCGCAGCACGTGGGATCCTCCCGACCAGGGCACGAACCCGCGTCCCCTGCGTCGGCAGGCGGACTCTCAACCACTGCGCCACCAGGGAAGCCCCATGGTCAGTTTTTAATCAAAAAATGGCGTAATCTATACAAAGTGAATAGGAGTTAACAAATTTTAAAAATTAGAAATTCCTGATGAGAGTATCCCAAGTGTTTTGCGTGTTGTTTTATATTACTCAAACTGCTATTGTTTTCAGAACAAACCACTATCTGAAAGTGTTCCCTCCTGCAATTTTTTTTTACCAACCTAATAAAGTTCAGCTTAATTGCTTTATTTATACTTCAGTATAAAACTTAGAGGAGGAAGTCCACTTATTTTGCTTCTTGATAAATGAAGGACTATGCCAATGAATTATCAACCATACTATTCAAGACTACCCCTTTTTCTTCAGATATAATCAAGCATCAGGAAATTAATGTTTTTAATATTTATAATATTTTTTCTCCTTGATTAATTTATAATCCTTGTATTGTGAACAATATTTTCACAGTGGTATATCCATTTCAAAATTATGAGGCTTTCAATTTCTTGGTTAATTTTTTTTAATAGCTCTGTATTCTGTGTTCAGGAGAAAATATAGTGAAAGGAGATAAAGAATCTATTAAGAATCTCCTAGAAATATTCGATGGGTTACTGGAGTATCTTACAGAACACATCAGTGAAACATCTCATGAGAAAAGTAAGTTTAAGAAAAAAATTTGGTTTGATTTATATTCTGTGTTATGTCTCTCTGTCTTTTATCTTTTTGCCTATTTTTCTCCATAGGAATTAGAATCACTAGTACACTATATCTGATAAATTTAATTATAAATTAAATTTCAGTTCTCATTGTTCCAAGTGGTTGAAACCTCTATCCTAGACTACCATCATGTCTTTTGTTAACTTGGCTATTGCTTATAAGTTACTTTAAAGCTAATCTGTAATTGAAAGCTAAATCTGACTAAAATTGCTTACTGTCCTATTATTACATGAAATTCCTTACTTCAAAATTTCCTATGTCAGAACTGCCATTTTTGTTATAAATTTGGATACTGGGGAGGCATCAGCAGAAAGGGTTGGTACATTTCTGTCTCCAACCTACACTTCAGTTTGTGACAGTGTGAATATTTTTTATTTCACTCATCAAGTGACTCAGTTCTCCAAATTGTAACAGTTTATTGTATGAAATTTTGATACTATGTTTTTTTAATGATAAAGATCATTATTGCTGTATTATTTTCCAAAGGTGTCGTGGTTATTTAAACTGGATCATTAGTGTGTAAGTGCTATTCATAATCTTTGGCTCAATAAATCCCATCTCTAGGGATTTGTCCTAAGAAAATAATACAAAAGAAAGGTGCTTGAAGGTCTTCATGCAGTGTTATTTATCATTGGGGGAAAAAAACAAAACAAAGAACCTTATGTCTTAACAGTTTGAGATTGGTCAATAAATAATACTGTATGTATTAATACACTGAATAATATATGACCCATATTAGAATGGGTTTACTATTGTAAAGTTATCCAAAACAAGTTTTTAGCAGGAGTAGCAATTAGTATAAATTCTAATACATATGAAGACAAAAAATTGGGGCAGGCTCATCATTCCTAATTCTCACATTGTTGATGGTGAGACCTATGCTGTGAATATAACATCTGAAATTAATCTTAAATTCTTTTCTTTTTTTCTTTCCTTTTTTTTTTTTTTTTTGTTTGTTTTTGCGGTACACGGGCCTCTCACTGTTGCGGCCTCTCCCATTGCGGAGCACAGGCTCCGGACGCGCAGGCTCAGTGGCCATGGCTCACAGGCCCAGCCGCTCCGCGGCATGTGGGATCTTCCCAGACCGGGGCATGAACCCGTGTCCCCTGCATCGGCAGGCGGTCTCTCAACCACTGCGCCACCAGGGAAGCCCTTAAATTCTTTAGTTAGAGATAGTTTTCTACCTTTTATCCTTGTTGCTGAAAAAGACTTAAAAGCATATAGAGATAAGGCCTAGAAGGAAAGATTGAAAGGTACGCCACACTGTACATTTCTTCTTTTTAATTTCAAAAAACTTGAGTTTTGAGTGTTTAATGAATGTTAAATATCAGCCTAGGTACTCTGGGAAGATTCAGAGCTGCATGCCATGTTTATTGCTCTCAAAGAAAACTATACTCAAGTCAGGGAGACTGCCATAAATACATACAGTAAAAACTGTAGGAGAATTGGGAGGGAGTGAATGACATGGAAAAACTCACCTAATTCAAGGCTACAAGTAGCTATTTCGATGCTCTGTGGCTTTTTAATCATTTTAGCAGCAAGAATAAGGGGAAGAAAACTACCTAAAAGAGTAATTAATTTGAAATGTTGTAACGACAGCAGTTTTTATGATGTAGTACTTGATCGCATGTAGGGGAGGGATGATAGGCAGTGGGGATGGAGAGGAGGACAGAACTGAGAGATACTTACATGTGAGGCTGGTAATAATGAAATGCTGAGCGGGGGATCTTTCCAGGGAGGTCAGTAGGATATAAGCTTAGTGCTGCTAGAACGGAGTTGCTTAGATGGAGCCTCCCTATGTGATAGTACTGTAGTTGGAAAATGTTTTCTGAAGTCTGATTCTCACCTTTGCAGGTCCAAGTTTATATAGCAGTATTATCTAGAGCTGATCAGAATCTTCAACATGCCAATTAATAATGGGAAATAAATCTGTATTATCACTAGTCATGTCAGGTACAGAGCAGTTTCTTCTGAGCTAGCATTATCATTTACCACTGAAGATCAAGGGATTTGAAGGCAGACTATGGGCTTAATGCTCCCACTCACTGTGACTCACTAAATTTCATCCCTCACGGTAGGACTGAAGCTCTCTAAGCCTCAGTTTTCTCTTCTGAAATTCTTTCATGATTGTAGTGAAGGTTAATAGATATGCATAAGTAATTTAGTATTGAGCCTAGTCCAGAGTAAATACACAATGAATATTGACTAATGTTGTTAAAATGTTGCTTGGCGAATATAGAAACAGAAAAAAGTGAAGGTGGTTGTTGAAACAGGAAATCTCTAGAAGTGGGATGGGAATATCCAGACGGGTATATCTGAAGTAGGAGGTTTCACCCACATACCTCCTGAAATCACTTCTCTAGTGAGTTACTGCCACTGTGAAAGTGTATTTCTTAAGTATGTTGGGGTAGAAAATAGGTTGAGAGTCTTTTTTTTGGGGGGGTGTGCTGTGTGGCGTGAGGGATCCTAGCTTCCCGACCAGGGATTGAACCCGTGCCCCTACAGTGGAAGCACAGAGTCTTAACCACCAGACCGCCAGGGAAGTCCCAAGGTTGATAGTCTTAAGGAAAATTTCATCCACACCTTGATGTGGTCTCACTCTTATCTTAGGCTAGGGCATGATTGTCTTGGAGCTTGAGGTAGGCTGACGTAGTCATGTTTTTCTGAAGCCACATCCTAGTCACCTTGCCTCAGATATCTCACAGATATCTCTAACTCACAGATAGAGAGGTGTAAAGAATACTAAATGAACCTACCACCTGGCTTAAAAAATAGAACATTGCTAATACAACTGTAGACCCTGCTTTTAAAGCAACACTTGCGTGCTCATTGCAAGTAATGATTTGGTTCTCACTTCACTTTCACAAGAGCCCAGTGTACCAGGAAGGGGTTGGGGGTATTTTACTGCCCTTACCTCTACCCATCCCCTGTAAAGAAATAGTTGCATTAACTTGGGTTTTTGGTATTGTTTTTGTCTGTTCTAAACAGGTGAAACTGGACAGCGTTCTAAAGAATCCCATCGAGGAGACCCTTTGGAAGAGCGAGAAAGTACTAAAGAATCCAGATCATCATGGAAAAGAGTTTCTTTTGAGAGGTAGCACTCAATGTCTGAATTTAAGCAAAACAAGTTACGCTTTTCCTTCTTCTAAGAATTAAAATTGCATACAACATACCAGAATGGCAGCAAAAAAACAAAAAACAAAGCTAATGTGAAAATTTACTAACTTCTCATGTTTTAAACCTCCCTGAGGGAGTTTTAAGAACCTCGAGCTATATATAATACTTAATTCTCAGCATTAGCCACCTACTTAATTTAAAACATTTCCCTTAATCATCAAAGTAGTTTATGTTCCTTGCTGAAAACTTGGAAAGTACAGAGGAATAAAAAAGAAGCAGAAAAAAGATTAACTGTATCATTCAGAACTAAGTAACTGCTTGTTAACATTTTGTTGTAATTTAGCCTTTTTTACTGTTTTTTCTTTTGGGGATTTAGTCATATTGTCTGTATAATTTTGTTTCCTGCATTTTAAAGTTTAACACATCAAGTCTTTTCCTAACTTGATAAACTCTTTATAATCATTTTTAATCACTGTATAACATATCATGCATATGGGTGCATCATAATTTACTAAACCACGCCTCTGAAGTGGAGGTAGTTGTTCCTTTGTTTTTCATATTATTACTTTTTAATGTGATACATAATTCTGTTTATTCTTTCTCTCCTCTCCTTCCACTCATATATTTAAGCTACATTCAGAGTGGAAGACTATGAATGATATAAAGCTATTACAAGTTGCCAAATTACTTTCCCAAAAGGCTGTGACTATTTAAATACCCACCAGCAGTATAAAAGTACTGGGTTACTGCACCCTTATCAACCAGTATCATCGACCAATACCAGAGTTATAAAATTGCTGTTTTCATAGGCAAAATGTAATGTTGTTGCAGGTTTGGTTGTACTTCTGCTAAGTAGAGGTTGAACATGCTGCTATGATTTTCCTTTAAGTATCCAATTGTCAGTTTTTTTATGGAGTTTGTCATGGTTTGAAAAGCACAGGCAAAGCCTTCTTGTTTAAATATAGTATGTTGTAGAAAATGTGTCTTAAAGGAGACCATCAGGAAATAAATTTTTTGACTTTATTTTTCATTATTAGATTAAAAAAATAACAAAAGTGCAAAAGTGCAACAATAAAAGGATGTTTAATACAAAATTAATATCCTACCTAGATTCCCTCCACACCTCTAAAGTAACCAGTATTTATTGTTCTCTATGTATATTCGCCTATACATTTAATCCTTGGCACTTTATACACAGCTTTTCCCGCCATACGTGTATCAGTTAAAACAGTTAAGCAGCAGAAGGAAAAGTCTCCTGTTTTCTGCACATAACAATGTCGAATCTGAACATCCATAGGCAGGCTGCTTGAAGCAGTTCTCGGGGTCCTCACAGAAAGGACCCTTTGTGGTCAGGCCAGACCATCAGTAAGTGAGGAAACTCTTTCAGGTGCTCCTCATCATCTGAGGCATTGGGCCCCTCTTGGGGTGGAGATGAAGCAGAATCCACTGGTGAAATAATTAGACTTGGAGACACAGCACATACCTTTTCTCTAAGAAGTAATGGTGAGTAGTTAAACTTCAAATATCAGTTATTGTTATTCAACATAAAACTGTGAAAATGTAAATAGTTATACTTAAAAGTTGAGAAGAATAGAGAGAGCCCTAACTGGACATCAAAATTGAAATTCCAGAATACTGCCATTACCCACTGTATATGAACAGTTGTCCAGAATGAGTCAAGTGGGAGTCCTAGGCGCATGGGCAAATAGGTGGATGCACGTTTGTCATGTAATATGTGGGACTTGATACCCTAGGAAGAAAATTCTGGATGCAGCTTAACAGTTTGGTCACACTCAGAATACCCCTTAAGTATAGTTTCCTGAGCTGGGTGACTCACTTTTTTCATGGTGTCAAGCAAGTGTGTACATCCAGTGGCAGTTTTTCTCCCAGGCTTCAGGCCATATTTCCAACAGTCCCTGTTTATGCACAGTAAACCTGAATATCTCTCAGGCCTGTTTTGAGACTCTCACCTTGCCCTCCTCCAGCCATCCCACTTCCTGTTCTGCCCATCTTGGTTGTCTTGCTTTTCTCTGGGCATCATATAGTTTCTTTTATCTTTCCTTTTCTTTTCTTTTTTTTTTTTTTTTTTTTTTTTTGTGAAGGTCCCAATCACCTTGCCACCTATAGATCAAGATCAGTTTGTCTCTGGCAAACTTTCTTTTAACAAAGCAGTTATTATTATTATTATTTTTGGCTGTGCCACGCAGCTTGTGGGATCTCAGTTTCCCGACCAGGGATTGAACCTGGGCCATGGCAGTGAAAGCCCAGAATCCTAACCACTAGGCCACCAGGGAACTTCCAACATCATATAGTTTCTTTTGTTGGAATGCTCTTCCTTTCTGTTTCTGGCAAACTCACTCTATACAAAGCCTAGCCTCTGAGGCTCTGTATTCCTATATTGTGGTCTTCTCACCTTGACTATTATGTAAACTGTGAGTTCCAGGGACAGTAGCGACCTCATATTCATTCAGCAAATATTTATTTAATGCCTTCCCTCTGCCGGGCAGTGGTGATACAGTAGTAAACAGAATAGGCACAGACACAAATCCCTTCCCTTATAGAACATATATTCTACTTGTGGAGGCAGTCAATAAATAAGACAAATAAGTGAGATGTCTAATAAAATTATTCATCTTAGTATTCCAAAAATTAGCAAAACATTAGGCCCGCAATAAGTATTTTTTTAAAATGGAAGAACAGGAATGCTAGAGTAGAATTAAGTACATTAAATTATGGGAATCAAGTGGCCTGCATTCTCTTCCAGACTCTGCTACTGGCTGTGTGACTTTGGACAAGCCCCTTATCTTTTCTGAGCCTCTGTTTCTTCAAGTGTAAAATTAGAGAATTAAACTAAACCATCTTTGAAATCCCTTTCAGCATTAATACTCTAATTCCAAGGAATATACACACCATTCCAAGGAATTGTGTTCGAAGAACCTATGTCTGGGAGGTCAGACAGTAAGCCAAAGACATTTACTTGCCACTGGGATGGGCAAAGTAGCAGAATGACCAGAGTCAAGTGTAGGTAATGCAAGAATGTTTCTTCAAGGTAGAGAGTCAGATGAAAGGTATGGTGACTTTAGAAATGGTGTTCTGTGATAGCAAGTGCCTTGTAGAAAGGTTATATCTATAAAAAGTGAATTATTATTTTCAGATTTTAACTTCAGATTATAATGCAATTAAAAGGAAAAAAAGAAATGGTTGAGAGGGCTTCCCTGGTGGCGCAGTGGTTGAGAGTCCACCTGCCGACACGGGACACAGGTTCGTGCCCTGGTCCGGGAAGACCCCACATGCTGCGGAGCGGCTGGGCCCGTGAGCCATGGCTGCTGAGCCTCTGCGTCCGGAGCCTGTGCTCTGCAACGGGAGAGGCCACAACAGTGAGAGGCCCGCGTACCGCAAAAAAAAAAAAAAAGAAATGGTTGAGAGAAAAGCCAGGCTAAGGTGTTTGGGTTTGATGTCATATGGTAGCTTCCTTTTATATTTGGATTTAATTCATCAGATAAATGTCATCATATACATTCTTCGACATCTAATTTAGGCTTTAATTCCAGGACTATAACTTTCTTTTTTATTGCAATATAATTGACATATAACATTACGTTACTTATACAGATGTACAATATGATTTTTCAGTAGTATGTATTGCAAAATGATTACCACAGTATGTCTAGTTAACATTCGTTACCAGAAAATTACAAACTTTTTTCTTGTGACGAGAACTTTTAAGATCTACTCTATTAGCAACTTTCAAATATACAACACAGTATTTTCTTCTTAAACCTTTTTTAAAATTGAGATATAGTTGATGTACAATATTATATGTTACAGGTGTACAGCACAGCGATTCACAATTTTTAAATTTTTATATTCCATTTATAGTTATTATAAAGTATTGGCTATATACCCTGTGTTGTACAATATATCCTTGTATCTTATTTTATACATAATAGTTTGTACCTCTTAACCCCTTCCCTGTCTTGCCCCCTCCCCACTGGTAACCACTAGTTTGTTCTCTGTATCTGTGAGTTTGTTTCCTTTTTGTTATATTCGCTAGTTTGTTTTATTTTTTAGATTCCACATATAAGTGATATCATATAGTATTTGTTTTTCTCTCTGACTTATATCACTTAGCATAATACCCTCCAAGTCCATCCATGTTGTTGCAAATGGCAAAATTTTCATTCCATTTTTATGGGTGAGTAGTATTCCATTGTATGTATGTATGTGTATATATATATATATATGCCACATTTTCTTCATCCGTTAATGGACACAGGTTGCTTCCATATCTTGGCAATTATATATAATGCTGCTATGAATCTTGGGGGTGCATGTATCTTTTCAAATTAGTGTTCCCATTTATTTTGGATATGTAACCAGAAGTGGAGTTGCTGGGTCATATGGTGGTTCTGTTTTTAGCTTTTTGAAAAACTGTTATACTGTTCTCCACAGTAGCAGCACCGATTTGCATTCCCACCAGTAGTGTACAAGGGTTCCCTTTTTTCCACATCCTCACCAGCATTTGTTATCTGTGGTCTTTTTTTGGGGGGGGGGCCAACATACACTTTTTTTTGATTAATTTTTATTGGAGTATAGTTGCTTTACCATGCTGTGTTAATTTCTGCTGTACAGCAAAGTCAATCAGTTATATGTATACATATATTCCCTCTTTTTTAGATTTCCTTCCCATTTAGGTCACCACAGAGCATTGAGTAGAGTTCCCTGTGCTATACAGTAGGTTCTCATTAGTTATCTATTTTATACATAGTAGTGTATACATGTCAATCCTAATCTCCCGATTCATCCCACCCGCCCCCTTGCCCCCTTGGTAAAGTTTGTTCACTATATCTATGTCTCTATTTCTGCTTTGCAGATAAGTTCATCTGTACCATTTTTCTAGATTCCACATATAAGTGATATTATACAATATTTTTCTCTTTGTGACTTACTTCACTCTGTATGACACTCTCTAGGTCTATCCACGTCTCTGCAAATGGCATTATTTCATTCTTTTTTTATGGCTGAGTCGTTCTGCATTGTATATATGTACCACGTCTTCTTTATCCATCCCTCTCTCTTTTTTTTTTTTTTTTTTTCGGTACACGGGCCTCTCACTGTTGTGGCCTCTCCCGTTGCAGAGCACAGGCTCCGGACGCAGAGGCTCAGCGGCCGTGGCTCACAGGCCCAGCCGCTCTGTGGCATGTGGGATCTTCCCGGACTGAGGCACTAACCCGTGTCCCCTGCATCAGCAGGCAGACTCTCAACCACTGCGCCACCAGGGAAGCCCTTCTGCCCATTTTTCAATTGGGTTTGTTTTTTTGATGTTGAGTTGTATGAGCCTTTTATATATTTTGGATATTAATCCCTTTGTCAGTCATCTCATTAGCAAATATTTTCTAATTTTAAAGGTTGTCCTTTTTTGTTTATTTGTTTGTTTTTCTGGCCACACTGCGTGGCATGTGGGATTTTAGTTCCCTGTCCAGGGATCGAACCTGCACCCCCTGCATTGGAAGCACAGAGTCTCAACCACTGGACCATCAGGGAAGTCCCTAAAGGTTGTCTTTTTGTTGATGGTTTCCTTTGCTGTGCAAAAACTTATAAGTCTAACTAGGTCCCATTTGTTTATTTTTGCTTTTATTTCCTTTGCTTTAGGAGACAGAGCCAAAAAGATACTGCTACAATTTATGTCAAAGAGTGTTCTGCGTATGTTTTCTTCTAGGAGTTTTATGGTTTTTGGTCTTACAGTTAGACCTATAATCCATTTTGAGTTTATTTTTGTATATGGTGTGAGAAAATGTAATTTCATTCTTTTACATGTAGCTGTCCAGTTTTCCTAGCACCACTTATTGAAGGACTGTCTTTTTCTCTGTTGTATATTGTTGCCTCCTTGTCATAGATTAATTGACCTTCAGTGTGTAGGTTTATTTCTAGGCTCTCTATTCTGTTCCACTGATTTATGTATCTGGCTTTGTGCCAGTTCCATACTGTTTTGATTACTGTAGCTTTGTAGTATAGTCTGAAGTCAGGGAGCGTGAATCCTACAGCTCCTTTTTGCTCAAGATTGTTTTGGCTATTCAGGGTCTTTTGTGTTTCCATACAAATTTTAACATTATTTGTTCTAGTTCTGTGAAAAATGTCATTGGTAATTTGGTAGGGATTGCATTGAATATGTGAATTGCCTTGGCTAGTATAGTCAATTTAACAATATTCTTCCAGTTCTTGAACGTGGTATATCTTTTCATCTGTGTGTCGTCTTCAGTTTCTTTCATCAGTGTCTTATAGTTTTCTGGGTACAGGTATTTTACCTCCTTAGGTAGGTTTATTCCTGGGTGTTTTATTCTTTTTGGTGCAGTGACAAATGGGATTGTTTCCTTAATTTCTCTATCTGATAGTTTGTTGTTAGTGTATAAAATTGCGACAGACTTCTTCATATTAATCTTGTGTCCTGCAACTTTACTGAATTCACTGGTGAGCTCTGGTAGTTTTCTGGTGGCTTCTTTAGG